TATCCATGACTGTAGCACTTCCCTCGTCCTGGGCCGACCAATCCCAGAATAGCTCCACATGGGTGACCTAACTCATGACGTCAGTAATAGTTGATTTGAGTTTGTCTGTGCTTTGGGCTACTGGCCCGACTGTATATTCGGGCTGTTGGGCTATATTCTTCCCAGTCAGGATTAAAGTTACTAACAGCATAAGAAAGTGACGCTGGTTAGTGACGGATAATAAATAATAAAATAATAAACGGTTTATTAATAGAGTTGCAGCCGGTGGCTGAAAATATACAAACTTACATTTGATTTAGACCAGTGGTTCTCAACCTTGTTTGCCCCATGCACCCCTTTCACCATATGTCAGAATGTCATTCTCCCCTCCTTTCCAAGATTGTCTGCCTCAAAAAGTGCATTCCAAATAATATGCATATAATACTGAAAATCCTTTATTTTTTCCATATTAGTACATATACATTTACAATTTTACATGGATTATTTTTATAGTGGAGTTTTACAAATTAAATGCCAATTGAAAATGTTGATGGATTTATAAAACTTGAATACAAGTAAAATAGTTTTTTTATATTTATAATGAATTACTTAACAGACCAAACTGAAGCATAATGCAATAAACAAAAAGTTCAATAGAATACCAGGATATTGTAAATTTGTAATTAATTTTATTCAGATGAAGATTACAGTCAATGAGAAACCTGTGATTGTTTTTTCTTCGCCAATTCTGGGATACGCGGAGGAGTGCTTGAAAGGGCACAACGCAGGTCATTTTCTACCTCTAATCTACTACGTTGCTTCGTTTTAATTTGCAACAGAGTTGAAAAGCCTGACTCACAATGATATGTCGACACAAACGGAAGCAATGCACGGATAGCTCTTTCTGCCACTTTTGGGTAGGAATCGCACATCAAGGGCCAAAATTCTGTGATTGATTTCTCATCGAACATATCTAGCTCTTGCTCCCGAATCAGTATCCCCCCCCCCGGTTGAGAACCCCTGATTTAGACAATGATATGCGTTGAGTACATTTACAGGGCTGTACAGTACATAAATCAGGAGTTGTTTATTCTTTTAACAATAGATGGGATGGTGCTATTCTTATATCTATCAGTTTTGGGTTCTTATGGGCTGAATTTTGTTGTAGTGGCGGACTGCGCGAGGTGGGCAAGGGGACTGCTGGTGGCACGAGGTGGCGATGACGAGGATGGTGCAGTAGTCCACTGTCAAACCTTGCTAGTGCTTGGTGGTGGAGGTCATTGAGGGATGGCATTTCCAGGGTGGAGAGAGCGTTGTTGTAGCCGGCAGTAGTTTGCGCCGAGCATGATTCTGCAGGGCCTCTTCTGTACCTTCTCTAGCTGACGTTGTTGGGTAGACTTAGAGAGAAGACGACCAGGCTGGTGACGCATACGTTAGTGTGTTCGACTAGGAAAGAAAGCTAGCACAGGAAGCGTATCCTGTCCACCTTAATGTCGAGCGTCGGGAGGTGTGGATATTTGTGTAGCCATAATGCCCCGAATATACACACACACACACACACACACACACGCACGCCGTCCCCCGGAAACCCTGCAGTGGGTCTGTTGGCCCATACTGGGCAGTCCCGTTTACACCCAACCCCAATCGCTCATACTGTATATCCGTCCAATCTATATTTGAAGCTACCCAGCGTGTTCGAGTGAATGATGAAGTTTGGTATTTTGTTCCACTTCAGGTATATTTCCAAACCAATATTTACCTATCTAGCGCCTAAATCTCAATAGGTCTAATTTAAAACCATTGCTACGAGTTCGCTTCTGGTTGAATAATTTAAGTACCTTGTATTATGGAAACAGCAATCAAGAAGGCAAATGTCTAAAGTTACTTTAATTTAACTTATCTCAATTTAAATACTTTCTTTACCTGTGCGTGTCTAGGGGCTTTTTGGTTGAAATGATTGTTATAATGCCTTGTAAAACTCATGCCCAATTCCGTAACAAGTGACAATCGGTTTGTATTGTAAACTTTTCTAGCTACCTTTTACTGTAGGTTTAGTTATTACAGCATTACTTGGCTTAATTGAATAGTAGATACCACACTCATGGTTGACATAACATTACCCAACACAGTATAAATAATTGGACGTGAAAAATAGGAGTGATTTTTAAATAGTATACTTAAAATAAACACAAACATATATACAAGGGTGAAAAATAATGTACTCGGCTGTACTAATACACGTTACAACTAGAGGGCCAGTAGAATCCTCGTGTACAGGTAAGTGCCGGAACAGTGGATCACTCCACGACAGAACGGGGAGAACCAGGAGCCGCTGTTGGTGACAGCTCAGAAGAGACATCGCCTGCCCCTCAAAAGCCGGCAAGGTTTTCCACCAATCGGGAACCAACTCCTATCTCTTTGTTTTTCTCGTTGGCCTGTTGGCAACTAGTAGTTTAGTGGTCGTAAACCGTGCATATAGAGGTGATAACTCGGGTGTATATACAGGGAAGTGTAACCCTTCTATGTTACACTTGTTATATCACCTTTCTTTAGCCCTGACCTCCATTTATACACCTCGATCATATCGACCCTCACTTAAGTCTCTCGAGGGAGTGCAAATTCAGATGCTTTAATCTGTCTCTGTACTCAAAGTTCCTAATGCCCGGGATTAGTCTTGTAATCCTCCTCTGTATGCTTTCTAGGGATTCGATATCCATTCTGTAGTACGGTGCCCAAAGCTGAAATGCATAATCCAGGTGAAGTCTCACAAGCGCAAGATATTGTCACAAGTCGACTTGTGAAAGAGACCTTGGGGTACTTGTAAGCCCGGACCTACGGCCTAGAAAACAGTGCGTTAATGTTCGAAATAAGGCAAACAGAGTATTGGGTTTTATATCTAGAAGTGTAAGTCATAAGAGTGCAGAGGTCTTATTGCAACTATATCTTACGCTAGTCAGGCCGACACCTCGATTATGCGGTTCAGTTCTGGTACCCTTATTATAGAATGGATATCAATTCACTAGAGTCGGTGCAGCGAAGAATGACGAAAATGATTCAGGGACTTAGAAACCTTCCATATCAGGATAGGTTAAAGAAACTAAACTTGCATTCCCTAGAAAGACGAAGAGTGCGGGGAGATATGATAGAAGTATTTAAGTGGGTGAAAGGAATCAATAAAGGTGATATAGAAAAAGTTCTTATAATATCCGAGCAGGATAGGACTCGGAACAACGGATTCAAGTTGGATAAGTTTAGGTTTAGGAGGGAGATAGGAAGGAACTGGTTTACAAATAGGGTAGTGGACGCGTGGAACAAGCTTAGCAACTGTGTAGTAAGTGCTGGAACGCTGGAAAGTTTCAAAGGGAGGCTGGATAGATTCATGGATGATAGAGAGTGGTAGTAACTCTCGTCAGGAGCTGCCATGCACAGGCCAACCGGCCTATTGCAGACTCCTTATTTTCTTATGTTCTTAAGATAACCTTGCCAGTCTTGTAACTAACACTCCTTTGTGTGAACCCCAAGTACACTCACTCACTCGCCAGGATACATACAGTCATCTGGACATGCCCACCATCAACTGAACACACACACACACGGTCAACTGTAGATTTTCATGTTCAGATTTGCCCCACGCAGCGTGGGGACTAGTTTATTGGACACCCCTCATATATTCTGTATAAGGCGAAGCGCAGAAGCATTACAGCACCCAACAGAGAATCTTACGGAGTTCACGTTAGACTACACGTGGTGTGTACCTAGGTGTATATCTACCTGTACATTGTCTTTATGTTCAAACACATCGACCCAGGTGAGCAGATAGGTTTTTTGTGACTACACATGCTTACGTGAATCTTCTGTCATCACAACACAGCGGCAGTATTTGACATGTTCCTTTCATTAGTTGTCAATTGTCACTGAGGTAGCAAAAGTAAGTAGAATCCAGTTACAGTACTAGTAATGTGTTTTCGCCGTGGATACGCGCCGCCGCTCAAAATACTGCAAATAAATATTAACTGGCACCTGTGTCTGGGCAGGGCTTGTGGACTGTCGACCAGAGTTGCCAACTTAGCGACTTTGTAGCTAGATCTAGAGCTTTTTTTTTTTTCTAGCGACATTTTAGAGCGATTTGCGACTTGTCGCAATCTAGAGATATCCACAGAAATCTAGCGACTTTCTGGATACTTTTGGACTGTCCATGAAAACTCAGTTTTCCTAATTTCGAGCCGTAATATATAGCAACGGGGTTACAGGGACAATAAATAATAAGAAAAGTTTAATACATTTGAACGGGTCGTGGTACAGAAGGAGGGACACGTCTATTTCCTGATCACTTGATGTCAGCCCGTCCATGCATCTAACACCCTAAAATTGTGGTCAGAAGTGGCAAATTACAGAGATGCGACAGGTGAAAACCCTTACCATGAAATGGCTGAAATTGCACTCGCTGCCTTATCTCTTCCGCATTCAAACGCAGATGTAGAGCGCACATTTAGTAATATGAACTTTGTGAATCAAAATTGCGCAACAAAATGAAACTATCGACATTAAAGGCAATTCTTACAATAAAGTATGGGTTAAAAAGACAGAACACCTGTTGTGCAAGTTATGAACTTCCTAGTGATATTTTAAGAAAGATAGGGACTGTGGAGGCATACAGTTACAAGAGAACCTGAACCAAGCACTTCACATGCTTCCAGCTCTACAGTTGTTCACACTGCCGACGACTACAAAGAGGACTGGGATGCAATTACTATTGAATAATAGGTAAGTGTGCACATTAAACTTTAAAAAAAATAATATTTTTATTTTTACATAATACATTTTATTTATACTCCGTTCATTATAGTCGTCATTATGAAAATATTATTTGCATCAAATTACTGAAGGGGGGAATAATAGCTAGCGACTTTCCATGGAAGGTTTAGCGACATTTAGCTACTTTTAGGTACCAGCCTAGCGACATTTGAAAATCCGAGTTGGCAACCCTGCTGTCGACTTGCCAAGTTGTAGCGTAAAGGAAAGGCAGCGTTGTAGTCCCTAGCTGACGTCCGTGGTTAGGTGAAGTGTCTCGTCCGCTGGATTATTTACCTGCTTGGATTTTCCTGGTTGTGAAAATTAATTTTACCAATATTTATGTATTTACGCCCTCTACTCCTCAAAATGTGACTGAAAACAAATTGGTGTCAAACAAATCGCTTCCCTTGATTGTGCGGTTTAACAGTTTAAATGTGACTTAGATAAATTCTTGGTCGTTCAGGAAATACCAGTGATTCTGGACGTTTAGTAAGCATACCCGTCGAGTTTACAAAGCTGAAAGATGTGTATAAGAGTGGCAGTGTTGGGGGTGATGGTGGTGATGAGCACAGCGATGCCCAGGGCTTCCACACTCCCTCCACTCGCCAATACAACCTCACAATACCATCCGCCTTCCTCCCTCACCAGTAATGAAAGTTTGACAGAGGCACCAACAAGCACAGGTGTTGTTAGTGACCCTAAACATGACACACCCGACACCTGGAAGGAGGTGGGCACAGTTACACCTCTGGGGGATGTCGACATGGATATTTCTGATGAGGTGCACACAACTCCGCCTTTGATGACCGCGACGTCCTCGGCAGGGCCAGGAGCCAGTGAAGGAACCAGCAAGACAGTACCGACTCGCATGGACCAACTGGTCAGGTGTCAGTGTGGCCCAGAGCAGGTGCTGACTGCAGACGGGTGCCGGTCCTCTACTGGTATCTACATCGATGGGGAGAGCAAATATGATTTCCCTACCAAGGTGAGACTGTTTGACTGGCAGTACTTTTGTGTGTCGTCTGTACTCTGTATTTACTCTTAAGTGTGTACACACTCTGGGTAAAATTAGTTACACGATTACATATTTAAGATCCAGAGTTGTGCCGCTTTCTGGTGAAATCGCCCCGATGCAAACTCGGGTCCAACTAATTACCCAAATGAAGTCAAATAATGGTCCTACATGAATAAATCGGACTGCCAATCACTTCTCGACTAGTATTTGGTGTCACTAAGTCACAAAAAATTGGTAAATTTAATTTAATCTGAGTAATAGATCGAGTGCATGTACCTAACCTAACATAAGAAAATAAGGAGTCTGCAATAGGCCTGTTGGCCTGTGCATGGCAGCTCCTGTCGAGAGTTATTACCACTCTCAATCATCCATGAATCTATCTAGCCTCCTTTTAAAACTTTCCAGAGTTCCCGCACTTACTACAAAGTTGCTAAGCTTGTTCCACTCGTCCACCACCCTATTTGTGAACCAGTTTCTTCCTATCTCCCTCCTAAACCTAAACTTATCCAACTTAAGTCCGTTGCTACGAGTCCAATCCTGCTCGGATATTATAAGAACTTTATCTATATCCCCTTTATTGATTCCTTTCCCCCACTTAAATACTTCTATCATATCTCCCCGCACTCTTCGTCTTTCTAGGGAATGCAAGTTAAGTTTCTTTAGCCTATCCTGATATGGAAGGTTTCTAAGTCCCGCAATCATTTTTGTCATTCTTCGCTGCACCGACTCTAGTGAATTTATATCCATTCTATAATAGGGGCACCAGAACTGAACCGCATAATCGAGGTGTGGCCTGACTAGCGCAAGATATAGTTGCAATAAGACCTCTGCACTCTTGTTACTTACACTTCTAGATATAAAACCCAATACTCTGTTTGCCTTATTTCGAACATTAACGCACTGTTTTCTAGGCCGTTGGTCCGGGCTTACAAGTACCCCTAGGTCTCTTTCACAAGTCGACTTCTCTAGGTTGATGTTGTTAAGGCTGTATACATTATAAGTATTTGTTCTTCCAATATTAAGTACGCTGCACTTGCTGGTGTTGAATTTCATTTGCCATTTTTCAGACCACCCCTGCAGTTTATTTAGATCCTCCTGTAATGCATTTGCATCCTGCCCTGAATTAATTTGCCGCCCTATTTTGGTGTCATCCGCAAACTTGCTTATGTCACTGCTGATCCCAGTATCTAGATCGTCTATGTAGCTTATGAACAAGAGTGGGCCTAGTACTGACCCCTGGGGAACCCCACTGGTTACACGGCCCCACTCAGATTTAACACCATCTACGCTGACCCTCAGATTAAATTAAGTTTACCAATTTTTTTGTGACTTTATGACGCCAAATAATAATCGAGAAGTGATTCACATCCCGATTTACGCTTGTAGAACCATCATTTGACTTCATTGCGGCTACATTTGGGTACTTTTGGGTAATTAGTCGAACCGCCTCAAAACAAAGGAGTGTCATCAGCAGATCAAAGCCTGCTGGGTCCAGGGCTCGAGAAAGGTGTAACAGTATAAATGTTCACATACACTTGTTCATATGGTTGTGCAAGACGAGTGTTAAAGGGTGTACCAAGTATATAAAAAACACTTAAAAGATAGTGTCATGTTGAAGAAAGAATTAAGGCTGCAGAGATTTGTTTTCACAAAATTACTTTTAATTCACAGAACTAAGCAGTATAGACTACCACATTTTATTTGCTGTCACTGAGTATCTGTACAACAAAATTGATTGCCATTGTAGCTACAAGAGTATGGTTTTGTCATGAAAAGAAAAGGTATACATTTATTAAAGTTTGTCAATGAAAAATACTCTTAGGACAAAGCATTCATAGAATCACATACAGTGTAGATTATAAATTAAATGCCACATCACAGTGTTCGTCACTAACCCAACCTGACACCAATACTTTGTTGGGATTCACAAGTTGCAGGAAAATCGTGAATAAACACCTTATAATGGCCAACGTGTATGTACTATATTTAGGTAAACTGTTGCACGGGTAAAATCTTGCCGTGAAACTCCCAAATTTATTCGCCGTTGTTTGTATAATCTGGTTCAAATAACAGCAAATGAAGATTGTTGTGTTACGTCATGTCTGTCTGGCAACACTGGCATTCACTTGTTCCTATGCACCTTGATAGACCTATAATTGTTTAGTAGCTGAACCTCCGATCCTAGTCACCCACCGTCAGGTTGGACAGTCATTAGTGAGAGTAAGAGAAGTTCTCTTCTTTTTCGTGCCGATTATAACTATCACACAACCTTCACAAAAATCTAATTGACATTTTTCAAAAACACGTTCGCAACTTTTCCCATTAATATGAGCGAGTGTACGCTCTACAGCCCATGACTTTATAGCCCATAGCTTAACAGCCCATGACTTTATAGCCCATGTCTTTATAACTCATATTTTTACAACCCATAGATTTACCTCCCATGTCTTTATAGCCCATACATAGCTTTACAACTCGTATCTTTAGAGCCCATATCATTACAGCCCATGTTTTTTCTAGCCCATGGCTTTATAGCTGTCTTTACATCCCATGTTTCCAGATACCTGTACTGCACTTATATTTTCTTTTGATTACATTATACCGGGTACAGTATTGTATTGTAACCTAAAAAAATTATTCCAGAAACTCATGACTGACTTGAATGTCATCGTGCATGACCTTCACTGTGCAGTTGATGATGATCACAGAGAGATGAACTTCACAAAAGGGCAGTTTTTTCTACGTGATCGTGGTGACATAGTCTTGAACGATGCAGCTGGTTATCTCAGTGGTCTCCGCATCAATAACTACTGTGTCATCCATTACTTGGACTATGGAGAGAATCTTACCTGGATGTTGAAGGCGTGTATTCCTCCTCCCTCTGTACCCCGCTGTTGTCCTCCTGGTGAAGCACTTAAGGATACTCTGTGTCATCCAGCCCATTCCCCAGACTTACTGATGCCACCCATTGCTGCTGGTACCGAAAAGAAATCAGTTGAATGGCCAGTTATCAGAAACCACTACAGCCCAGTCACATGTACCCAGGATCCAATGAAAACATTATCACTAAATTCTAAAGATTCTGTCTTAGTAGCGATTCCCACAGGTATGGTTCACATTTGGGATCAACCAGAAACTGTGCTGAAAAAAATTTATTCATTTCCTCCTGATTTTTGTGTGGACGGACAGCAAAACCCTAATGGATCTGTGACCTACTCAGCCAATTTATGTTACTCTAATCCACGAGAACTTCACCACAAAAAATGTGATGGTAAAATTTGTGTGCGCAAGTGTTGTAAACTTGGAGAAATAATGAACTCTTCCATCCATAGATGTGTTCCCAATGGTAACATTACTTTTATCCCACCATTCACGTCCAGGCCACCAAGTTATGAAACAGTAACAGGGCTAGCATTGTGTTCTCCCCAAACAAGAATTAAAAACTTCACCTTAGATGGATCTGGGTATATAACATACAGGAAACAAAGTCTTTCTCCTACTGAATATTGCATGGACACCTTCTTTGATGGCTTTAACAAATATGAGACCAGTGCGTTAGGTTGTGTGAATTTCCTCACAACATTGGACAACGTTCGTGAAATATTGTATCCAATATGTCAGTTTATCTCTCTCTTCTTCATGTCCTTAACGGTGGTGTGTTACTGCAAGGTGCCAGAACTTCTAAAAAATGGTGGCTGGTATCAGCTGTGGCATGTCCTTTCACTCATATTGGCCTTCTCCAGCAACATCTGCCAGTCATTCCTTAATTACAACATGAGTAAGATGTCATGCATTGCAATTGGTAAGTTTTCTATCATTTAAGCATTATTTTGAGAGAAATTATATTATTTTAGTCTGAAAAGAGTTCATGAGATGCATGGAAACACAAACACAAACACCACTGCATCTTCAGTCTACACCTAATGTGAATGACTCTTGAAGGGGGTCTGACTAATTAGCCAAATGTACCCAAATATAGCCGGAATGAAGTCAAATAATGGTCCTAGATGAATAAATCGGACTGCCAATCACTTCTCGACTAGTATTTGGTGTCACAGTCACAAAAAATTGGAAAACTTGCTTTAATCCGAGTTAATAGATCGCGTGCATGTACCGACGGAGCGAGGAATTACCCAAATGTAGTCGCAATGAAGTCAAATAATGGTCCTAGATGAATAAATCGGACTGCCAATCACTTCTCGACTAGTATTTGGTGTCACAAAAAATTGGTAAACTTAATTTAATCTGAGTTAATAGATCAAGTGCATGTACCTTACCTTACCTTACCTAACCTTACCTTACCTAACCTAACCTAACCTAACCTAACCTAACCTCGACTAGTATTTGGTGTCACGAAGTCACAAAAAATTGGTAAACTTAATTTAATCTGAGTTAATAGATCAAGTGCATGTACCTAACCTAACCTAACCTAACCCAGCTCAGATTAAATTAAGTTTACCAATTTTTTTTTACTTTATGACACCAAATAATAATCGAGAAGTGATTCACAGCCCGAATTATGCTTGTACGACCATCATTTGACTTCATTGCGGCTACATTTGGGTAATTCCTCGCTCCGTCGGTACATGCACGTGATCTATTAACTCGGATTAAAGTAAGTTTTCCAATTTTTTTTGACTTTCTGACACCAAATACTAGTCGAGAAGTGATTAGCAGTCCGATTTATTCATCTAGGACCATTATTTGACTTCATTCCGGCTATATTTGGGTACATTGGGTAATTAATTGGACCGGATGGCTAACACCAGAACACGTCGTTTGATTTCATTTATTGGTAATGTATGAGAACCCCACTACCACCAGAAGGAGTTGTTTAATATTGTTCAAATTTTTCAGATGTTCTTATTATACTGTAGTAAGTATTTTAAGAGGCAACATTTACTAGAACCTGACTAAACCAACCAAAAAACATTATCTAACTTCCTCGCTGGATGTAATTGATAGATGTAATGATATCAGCTCTAGAAACTGATTTAATTTGAGAGTTAGAGGAAAAGGGAAAATGTGAAGAAGAGTGAAGAGTAGAATCATCAGCGTAAGAATGGTTAGAATTAGTCAGTGTAAAGTAAATCCTTGATAAACAGAAGGAAGAGAGTAGGTGAAAGAATAGAACACTCTGAGACACCACTATTGGTAGAGAAAAAGTTAGTTCGATCCCTCGACAACAACTGCCATAGATCGGTTGTCAAGGAAGCTAGAAATAAGAGAAAGTGGGAGAGAGAAACCATAAGAGGGAAGTTTAGAAAGCAAAGACTTGTGCCATACCCTGTCAAATGCTTTGGAGATGTCGAGGGCCACGACAAAAGTTTCCCCATAATCCCTAAGAGAGGATGACCAAAGATGGGTGCAATAGGAGAGCAGATCACCAGTAGATCTCGCCTGGCGAAAGCCATACTGGTGATTCGACAAAAGAGAGTGGCGTTCAAGGTGACGGAGAAAATGAGAGTTCAAGATAGTTTAAAAAAATCTTAAGAGAGGGATAAAGTTAGGGCAATGGGACGATAGTTAGTGGGATTAGGATGTCCACCCTTCTTTGGGATGGGTTAAACCAGGATATGCTTCCAAGAAGAAGGAAAAGTTTGGGTCTTAGGCCTTACTCACATCCAACCTGGATAACACACCAGCAGCCCTACGAGTGGAGATTATTGGAAAGTGCATAGGTTCAGTAGGACGAAGAGTAGGAGGGATATAGTTGGAATCAATTGAGGTGTAGTTAGAGGAGAATAAGGTGCCAAAGTGATTGGCTTTATCAGGGGGAGAGTTGGCTATAGAGTTGTCTGGTCGGAGGAAAAGAGGTTGTGATGTCTGGTGGGGTGGCCATCTTTGTGGTGTAGACTAACATAGTACAGTACAGTACTCTTTTTTGCCTCTTAATATTTATGCTCTCCCCCGACCCATTGTAGGTCGATGACCTGTGCCCGGGTGGGCTATTTCTCATTAAAAAAAAAAAAATTTAGGTTCTAAGTAAATCCTATTAAGTTGGTCCTTGACCATTTATAGTACAAACTCTGCATTTGAAAACCTTCCAATCCCTCTTGGTAAGAGATAACTAATCAAGTGCGCTTGACTACAGTAAACTTCTCTGCAGTTTTGCTAAATATTATTAAAATCTGAACCAATACTGTAACTTATACTCAGATGACACTAAATTACCAGTTAGTTCTAAATTTATCATGCCATCATACTCATCTTAGGTTTAGAGAGCCAGTGTCCTGCATGTACTGTATGCAAGAAAACCTGAAAGCCCCTTCAAGAGTTATCACAGTATAATATAATCCAGTGACCAAGGACATGGCAATGCTCATTAATCCATATCTTATGAATGTGTTTAGGGTTAAAACAAGAAATAGAAACTGCATATGTTGTATGAAAAATAATGATGAATATCATAAAAGTATTAGGATAATCATATTGATTCTAATGGTATTGAATTATACTGTATAATAATAAAACTTTTGTACAGTACATAAATGTATCTGTTATTCTTTTCAAGGTACCACATTGTCTTATCCTCATGTAAACTGGTTTTCTTCCACAGCACTTGCCATGCAGTATGGCTATTTGGCCACTTTCTTCTGGCTCAGTGTTCTTTGTTTTGAAGTCTGGAGAAAAATTAGGTAAGGTTTTCATACACATATCTAAGTTTGAATTTGGATCTCTTAATTTATCATTTTACCACTCACCAGCTTACTAGCCTTTCAGGTGGTTGGTCTTTTCTTTGTTACTTTGTTATGAGTTTTATTGTCCAGTATTTGTATAAGAAGAAACTGGGGTATTGGGAGGATACCTGTCATATTGGATAACACCCTTTTCATGTGTCTTAGGCCAGGATTCGAACCCATGATATTATGTGTGTTACTGTTGTACCACCAATACACAAAGATTAGGAATTCCCACTTCCTTCACCTGATAATTGAACACCATAACGATAATGAGGGGTTAGGTAAGAATTGGTTAGGTTAGCATTAGTTTGTATAATAAAGTGAAATAAGTGGGACTTCCCAATCTTCATGAGATCTGGCTTTTGTGCAAATCCAAATATAAATCTAAAATCAAAGAGACATGTTTTGGACATGGTTATTTGTTTTTGGATGTCTTATTGATCAAATAATTAACCAGGATCATCAGAACATATTAGGTGAGCACCTTTCAATATACTGATTGGCAACACAGCAAATTGAAGAGGTGACTACACTCTTGAAACTACAGTATTGAACCTTGGAAACAAGTAGTGTATACCCACACTATCTGTTGAAAATGTCTTTTCATCACAAAATGTGACATGTTCCCAAAAGTTGTCGTCCATATCTGCTTTTACCGTCTTAGGAATTCCATACATTGCTCCTTGTAGCACTGTGCTAATGCAGGTTTAATAGCTGGGATGCACGAGTTGAACACCTCCCACGCTGAATTCAGTCTTTACACTACCATTCGTGATGTGCACTAAAGTTGGAACTCTTCCTTTGATGTTAGGTTTAGCTTGTATGCATCCCATAATCCTTTGGTCTTCATACAGTGTTGTTGAGCGAGGTTGGCGTGAAAGCTGTTTATTCACCATGGTGCCTTTCTCTGGGTACTACTAGATCCACTTGTTAACAGTTTTTGTGCTTATTGTGTATCACTCTTATCTCCAATGAATGTACATCACTCCTATACTGTACAACAAAATCATAGCTCCAATCATTTCTCTTGTGGATTTGTGCCTCTGAGTTGCTCTTTCCATACTAGGTGTGGTCTGTTCAGCAGGGATTAGTTGTAAGGAAATATAGAAGTTAGGCTTGCTTGACCAGATGTAGTTAAGGTCAGGCTCTTGTTATATTCAGACAAAACTGGGAAGGTACAGGTACTTGTATCTTTGACTGTACAAGATGGCTAGCTGGCTGAGACTCCAATTGTTTCACCAATTCCCCAAAATAATTTGAACATCTACAAAATCCCCACATTGTACTTACAGTAGTAAACCCTTGCTATTCGCAGGGGTTACGTTCCAAAGAATGACGGAAATAGCAAGTTATACTACCTTAGTGCACTACTGTATACCTATACTGTGTATGGGAAACTTAGTCACCAATTCTACTCTCCTTCATATGTGGAAGTTTAGAGCTTGATGAAGTGTACTATGCAGTAGGATGAAAACTAGTTACTGAAGTTTAGGAAGATCATCGGGATCACTGTTGGAAGAGGGCAATGCAGTGGTGGTTGGTGGAGAGGTGGGTGATGGGGTAGCAGTTGGCAGGGATGTGGGTGGTGGAGCGGTGGCATCAGCTGACTGAGTAGGTAAAGGTGACAAATCAACTGGGTGAGCAGCTGGTTCTTTCTTGAAAAACATCGTGATTGGTAGTAGTTTCATCTTGACTTTGAGGTCTCTAAATGTTTCACTCCACTGACACTAGGCAATCTCTTAGGGGCCATTTCACACAGAAACACTAAAGTTTTGAGTACAACACAGAGATGCTGCGTCGCAGGCAATGGTTGAACTTAGATAAAGGGAGAGGAGACACTGCGGGCACGTGTGGGTGACTCGTAAGTTAGCCACCCTCTGCTTACTGCGAATAGTTGGAAAAGCAAATAGCAAGGGTTTACTGTACGGTATATGAAATTAGAACACAGATTTTGTTGAACACTTGTGAATTGTTAAATGTAAATTCACATTGTAAATTACTGTATTTTGTTTACACTGGACTTTCATTTCAACAAATCCTTGATTTTATTTCTCGAATTTTGGAATTTTATAATGCATAATTAGAAGTAACTGAGGTATGTTGAATAATATTAAAAAAATAGGCTTTATATCCCAGGGGGAAAATACTGTATCTTCTTTGCTGGAGTTAGGTTAACTGTCTCGTTTTTTCTAATTAACAAATAAAATGATTAAAAGAAAGTCAATGGTGATCAGTAATTCTTCCCATAGGAGCCTTGCCAGATACCTCCCTCCCAGCAGTGTACCAGTTTGGGTCTACCCGCTCTATGCATTTGGAGGACCATTTGCAATTGGGTTGGTACAACATACTTAGTTGCCTTGCTTATTTATCTCGTAATTTTTTGGTTAAGTAATGTTTAAAGTGATGTAATTTTGTTTTATAAAATAAAAATTTTGATAATTACAATTTGTTAATACCCAATCAACCATCTTGCAGAATCATCACAGTGTGTATGCAGTTCTTAGCACCAGATAATGTCCCTGGCATTATTAAGCCTTACATAGGTGAAAGCAAATGTTGGTTCATAGGTAAGTGTAATAATCTGTCTTTTGATTTATACTGGTATCAAATAACCTGACTAAAATTACCCAACCTTCATATCTTTAGCTATTTAGTTTCAGACCTTTCTCAGATAATTAATATCCCTAATGAGCACAGTAATGTGTTTTACTCTCACTCTTGTTTCATTCAACTTTCAGCCTCTTCTCCCATAAATTCTATTCTTACCACATTATGGTCTATACTGTACATGGGGACACACTGTATTTTTTTATTTATTTTTATTAATTGGGCACACTCTGGATAAAGCCTTCTCTGCCTGCACAGATAGTTCTTCACCATTTTTTTTATGGGGCCATCCACATGAGTGTTAGATCAGGAGGACAGTACCTTGCACTTGGAGAAAACCCATGATATTGATAGGTTCACACTGTGCTACTCTAATACAGAACTGTAAGAATGTGGGTGCATGAAGGGTACTGAATGGTCTACATTGGACAGTGAAGGAAAGTGTATTGCATATTCTTAGTTTGCATTGACGTCACAACTCCCATAATGCAACTTGTTTATAACTACAAGATGGTGGACCTTGCAAAGGATTATGGGACTTGTGACATCACTGCAAACTAAGAATTAGTGGATAGAACACACACCTGTTATGAGATTGAGAAAAAATGAAAGTAAAACAAAAATAAATTAAAACCTCCATCATAGTTAAAGATTGTTTGAGCACGAGGCTAACCACAGAAATCATTTAGTCATGTAGTCTCTGACTCTACGAATGCAAACAGACCATACCAACGTGCTTTGTATAATGTTTTTAACTCTATCTTTGTGGTATTAGCCTTTTATTTTTTCCATGATGCTGGTATTATTTAGAATATACTCTGTAATTAGTAAAACAAATAGTCAATAAAGATATCGCAAAACATTATACAAATATTTTTAGTTTGCATTGATGTCACAGCTCCCATAATCCTTTGCACGGTCCACCACCTTGTAAGTATAGTTGCGTTGCATTTTGGGAGTATGTGACGTCATGTGAAAGCAAAAAATAAAGTAATTCATCCATATTTGTATTATACTGTCTTTGGTTCAAGGCAGGTGTAAGTTATGAAGTTGTTTGGCTTTTAGAAACAAACAATTTAACGTTTATTCAATTGTTAATTTTTAAGCTTTTTATATCACTATGAATTCAATGAAATACAGGAAATTAATTTAGGATGACTATAAGAATGCATTACTTTTCTTACTTTTATCCTCTACACCACTGATCTGCTCGTTAGCAGCTTGAGCGATCGGTCACGTCTGTTACTTTTCTTTTTCTTTTATCCTCTTCACCAAATGATCGGCTCGTTAGCCACTTGGGCGATCGGTCACGTCTGTTACTTTTCTTTTTCTTTTATCCTCTTCACCAAATGATCGGCTCGTTAGCAGCTTGAGCGATCGGTCACGTCTGTTACTTTTCTTTTTCTTTTATCCTCTTCACCAAATGATCGGCTCGTTAGCCACTTGGGCGATTGGTCACGTCTCTGTTATGCACTAAAGATTATGCATTAAAGATTGGATACGGCCTAACTGAGAATAAAAGAAATACAGTATGTACATCAGTAATTTTAATATGTTCAGGTAAGCCAACACAATATTGTACTATTAAAATATTTTGAATAAGGATTCCTTTGCTTATTATGTACTGTATGCATTTGAATTAAAATTGTGTACTCATTCAAATATTTATTGAACCTAATACAGGTGCTAAAGCTTTTTGACTTAAGGGTGTAGAGGAGGGAGCTTCTATTGTATTTACTGAACTGTACTGTATACAGCATACTCACTAATACTGTACAGACTTATTATACGTGATAAACTGGTGTGGTCAGACCACCTCTGTTCAAGATGGTGGTCAGTGGTAGCATGGTAGCAAGTTTGACTCTACTGCATCCCAGGTTGGATCCATGGGTTGGATGTGAGAAGGCTCTTATCCTGTGTGACCCTTCTAAACATCAGTTCATTTTCCAGGTGCTCCAGTTTCCTCATGTGCCTGTACTAACATTGGACAATGAAGGTCATAACAGAGGTCAGACTGACCACTCAACATGAAAATTGGCAAAAATTATAAGTTAATAAGAATATAATTTAAAAAAATACGTGTGCTCATCCAGTAATTATTTTTTGGTAATATGTATTCTTCAAAGCTTCAGATATAAGTTAGGTGAGGGTTGTTCTCAGGTTACAAGAATGGAAGGGTAAGAAATACTGTACTGTAGTAATGTGTAAGGAGTGTTTGGAATGGGGGAGGGGACAATGTAAATTGGCGAGTATGAGAATGGAGAAAGAGAGACTGCCTGCCTGCATCTCTGGAAGGAAAGGTGAATCAATAGATTGAGAGAACATGGGAGAAGATAAGGGGAACAGGGCAGAAAGGGTAGGTAGTGATAAGGCAACATGGAGGCTCTTTTGCAAAGGCTACTCATTTGGAGAGGGGGGGATGGGAGGGGAGCTCCTTCAAGGTATGAGGCATCATAGAGAAGGTGATCTTCACAGAAGCTAACATTAGAAAATAGTGATAGATCTGTTAGCTGGAACAATTGGTGCAGATCACTAACTGGAATGAGAGATTTCCGGGTAACGAGACTACGTACTCTCTCAAAGCCGGAAAAAATCTCTCGTCCCCGGATTTTTCTGGGTAACGGAAAAATGTTCTCGGAGGTTCCAGAAATTGTCAATTACAACATATCACTAACCCTGAAAAATATCCCCCATCCCTGGAATTTTTCAGGTAAACTGTAATTTTTTTTTGGAATTTCCGGAAAATCGTTTCCAAAGCTGGAATTTTCCAGCAAATTCTGGCATGGGAATGAATTACTGATAACATTTCATTTCCAGCTATCGGAAAGTTCCGTGTTTGAGGGATTCCAACTATCAGAGATATTTACTTGTACAGTACATAAAATTCTATACATACAGCAAACTTAATTTGTATCTAGTTTGTACAGTAGTACTGTACCGTACATAATAGTTAAGTCTTGAGTAGGTGCTCATAAAAGTAATTTGGTAACTAACCACTTTTTTTTTATAATTTTCACCATTTCGATCAGCTTACTAGCCATTTGGGCGGTCTATCCAGTGTTAGTACAGGAGGAAACCGGGGACTGGGAAACCTGTGGTGTTTGGTAGTGAGGGTCACCCTGGATAGCACCCTTCTCACGTGTCCAGGCCGAGGCTTGAACCCTTGACATATTGGTGAGAGTTACACGTGTTACCGCCGGACCACTTTGACAGCTTGATGAACACTTTACTTAACTTCTCTGTTATTTATATGCACTATATTGTTGTTGTTTTTTTCAGATGAAATGTCACGGTTCTTGTATTTCTATGGACCCATAGCATTACTGTTTATTTTTAACATCATATTCATTGCACTTACATACTGGAACTACAAAGTAATTGAAGAAAATTCAGCAGTTTTGAGAAATTTGAGTAAAGATGAATCGGGTAATGAAAGTGCCACTGCAATGAGGACGTCCATGGAGCAGACGTACCGCAGACGGGACTATATTGCTGAGTAAGTTTCTTTTTTGGTGCATTGTAGTGTTAGATTATGATGTCTTTTAAAAACATTTAGGGACGTTGTTGTAAAGACTGGCACAGTATAATTACTTAATGGATACTGTGCTCACTTCCTGTCTTAAAGAGTCACTGGAACAGTACCAAGGTACCCTCGGTTCACCCAGCTCTGATTAGGTGCAGTACTGAACCTAGTTTTATAGTTGTGAAAGTGGTTTAGTTGCCTTTTTGTGTCCCAAAAAGAGAAGCATCCCTGTGTACTGGGCCCATTCTTGTTTGTTTGTTTGTTTCATAAATGACGTGCCAGAAGCTATACACTCCTCCATGCAAATGTATGTGCACGATGCCAAGTTATTCAGGAAAATTAAGAATTAAACAGACTGTGAAGAGCTACAGAAAAAACTGTCGGCTTCAAGAGTGGCCGAAGAAATGGCTGTCAAGATTCAATGTCATGAAGTGTAAGAGTATGTACCTAGGTGGTACAGTAGTGGAAATGTGTTTTTACACCCCCTTATGTTAACCCGTGTCTCCAAACCGCATCATCCCAGTATTAGTGCAGTATCACTATTTACGAATGAATGGGTATTGGTCGTGTAACGACGAACGTGATTGGTGGATAGATTTGTTAAAGGTTATATAGGTTACCACAGGGGGTGTAAGAACACATTTCTGCAACTGTACCAACTGTAAAGAGGTGTATCACATGTTAAATTGTCCTAACTGGATGAAGAAACAACATTAATAGAGACCAGATGTGAAAAGGACTGGTGCCTGCACTAGGCCACCTCACTTACCAAGAGAAATTAGAATGCCCGCAACTGCCTAGCTTATACTATAGACGGATAAGGGGTGACCTAATTGAAGTTTATAAACTTCTCTGAGGGCACTACTCAGTTGAGCGTCCATACCTGGAATTGGCCGATGCCCATCCCACAAGGGGTCACAGCTCAAGGTTGATGAAGCCATAAGTCCAGAAAATTGTGAGGGGTGAACATGTTTGGAGTGAGAATTATACTCTCTTGGAATAATCTACCAGAGAATGTTGTTACGGCACCGAGTGAGAGTTTTTTCAAGATCAGACTTAACCAACACTGGCACAGATACATGCTCAGTACTTGCCAACAGTGCGTAACAGAGATGTGACCGACCGCCCAAGCGGCTAAGAGGATAAAGGTCAAAGTTAAAGTAATAAAAGTCTGAAATTGCATGGTGAGTACATGTACAGGAAATAAGCACGAGTTTTTGCTTACCATGAGTTCCTCATCTCAGGAATGCATATTTCACTCTTAAGCAGGGTCCCTTGTATGTCTGAAAGTTATTATAGTTACCCAATGAACAAGAAAAGTGTAGAATGCTGGTGGCAACGTGACTTAAGAAGGAAGGAGACAGACAGACACAGACAACTAGCAATCACTCGGTAATATTTTCTCATGTTTGTCATTACTGTAAGATTAACTTGACATTTTGTACCTGCATTTATGCATGAATTCTAATTTTTAACAGTACAGTGAGCCCTTGAAGATCCGGACTAAAAGGGGAGACCACCTGTCTGGAAAAGCCGATTGTCCGAATTTTCCGGCGAATAATAAATGATATAAGAAACGCCCAAAATACAGTGCTGATGTAGTGATAAACAAATTACCATATATAAACCAGGCATTTACCTATGATAACACAATAAGAAACATTGTATCATTACTAGTGAATTAAATAATATTCCCATAAACAAGAATTGTCAACTGTTTGTTTCCCCACCTGCTCGGGCATCTGTGTCCAAGCAACTGACGGGTCAAGCAGCGCCCATGGGCCTAAAATATTCTTTGCTCTGGTTTGGGAAGGTTTCTTAGGGAAACTTCTCGGAGGCTTCTTAGCCCAGAAATCCAAATTTTTTGTCCGGATCTCCTGAAATCCGGATTTCCCGGGTCCGGATCTTCGAGGGCTTACTGTATATAATAAACAATAATGGGTAATTTTTTATGGGAATGTATGTTTTTTTTTTATGTAGTTCTACTATAACTTGGGGTCCAACTTATTCCATGTAGGAACATATTGTCAGTTGTGTATTGAACAGTGATAGTCGTCCCCTGTGATACAGAGTTCTGTCTATACTACAACTCCTTCCCGACTTACGACGGGTTCAGGGACCCAAATCCAGGTCGTAAGTCGAAATGGTCGTAAGCCAAAAATGCTTGAATAATACATAGAAAATCTAAAGTGGGTGTCTATTTTTCTTCTCAGCTCCACAAAACACTCACTTTTAAGCTTGCCAGCCATTTTAAAGTGAATTACAAACGAAAATTTTATCTCTGTACTGACGTTGGGACTCGAAAATACGTAATTTGACAGAATTTGGGTACGACTGAGGCAGGTCGTAAGTGCGGGTGGTTGTAAGTCGAGTAGGTCGTAAGTCGGGGAAGAGCTGTATATAATTTGAGATAAAGTAGTGTACACTCAGTTAAAAAACTACCGTACAGGTGGGGTCCAATGAGTTGAACAATCCACACGCAGGGCTACCAGGAGCAATAATATTTTATTAATTAACTCTAATTATTGTAAATTTTTTCACAAATATATAGTTTTCCAAGTGGTGTAGCTGTGCTCACTTGTTCTCTCTCTCAGGCATATGAACTAAATTGGACAGTTATGGGACTTCTTCTAACATGAAGCCAGATACTCTTGACTTTATTTATACTGTGTTTGTACCTCTTTAGGTCTTAGAATCTTCATGCTAGATAATGCTTCAGATATGGAGTTGTCTTGGTCTAGGTGTTAGTTTTTTATACAAGAAAAAGTTTTCATTCAACAATTTCAGACTTTCTCATGTGTCAAACTTTTGCCAACAATAATTGTTTCATAAATTTTATCCCTCAGCTTTAAGCAGCAGTTCTCCTTGCTGGTGATCATGTGCACTTGCTGGGTTACAGAAATTATCTCCTGGAAAGTCCCACCACCTGAGCTGTGGTTAGTATTGTGCTTCATGTTGGGGGTGTTAATTTTTAGATAGATATGAAACCGATCTATTGAAATGAGATTATGCCATGATTGAATTTAACAAGAAATCATCATTAGTCTGCTCAAGCAGACCATCAGCTATGTATATCTGGGCCACCTATGAATGTCTAATGAAAAGCAGTTTAAAGTTTCCATATCATCTAATGTACCCTTCAAGTTAGTGTAGTGATTTATAGTACCCTGTACTAAACTACCATAGAGTGACATGTGCTAAATTCACAAGTGGAATGTAGATTTTTTTCAAATTTCATACTTAGGTACTCTTATCACATAATGGTTAAGAATTTGTGTCCGGAATTTTAAAATTTGAGGAATTGCTTATTAATGAGCCTTAAAATAATTAGACATTTAGAATACACTTCCTCAAATTACACTGTGCTTGTAGGTTTTAAATTGCCTTTATACAGCATACATTTTTTCAGAAATATAGAATTACATTACCCTTTAAATATATTAGCTTTCATTTTCCAGAAAAAAGCTACTTAATCAGCATATTACAAGTGTGACCACACTTACTTAACCACATATGATGATCTTAACATGTTTGAGAGACACAAGACATAAACATTTTTATTTGTCTTGGTGAATATTTGGCCAAAACAGAATGGAAAATTTAAAATAAGAAAAACACAAGCAACTAATAAAATTTGAGATTTTAATCAGATACAACTTTACAAAATAACAGTATTATTAGTTGTTATAAGATAATATTTCAATTATCAGGCTGTTTACTGCTAGTTGAGGTCTTGTGGGTTTCCATCTTGGCTGTGAATCTCTGAAAATCCAGCAGATATGTTGTCAAGAATTAGGTCCGTCCAGTGTTGATTTGTAAAGATTGCTTGATGCTTCGACTTCATTGCAGAGTATACAGTGATTCACAACAGTGACATGCTGAAAATTGAGATGAGTCGCTCACTAGTTTTCTTGAGTTTAGGATTTTGTATTTCTGGAACTTGCTTCTAGAACTTGATTGTGGACTGAGATTTATGGGTCACCCAGGTCCATTTCCAGTACATAGGAATCTGTAACCAGAGGTTAAGCAGGGTCTCAACTTTTGTAAGTCATCAAACCTGGTTAGGAAATTATCAAGCAGACTTTTTAATTTTCTCTGTATTCCATCAGTTTGTGGTCTTTTCTTTCAATATCATTGCATTTATACCCATTTTGTTATGGGAAAATTGGTTGAAATTTCTTGACAGTGTCTCTTTGAAAAACTCTTATTTTAATCTGGAAGCTGAAAATTGTCTGAGTAAGATCACATCATATCCTTTCCCTGAAGTGCCAAGTTGAGAGTTTGTACTGTAGATGTTTCATTATACTGTACAGTATCAGTAGGGAACATCAGATCTTGCATCCATTCATCCTTTTCCAGTTGAGGATAATATCTTTTCTGTAAGAAAAGTAATGATGGACTCCAACAGACCAACAAACCTATTCAAGACATTGCTGGTTGACAGCCACCTCACACTGCAGGAGAAAGAGACATCATTGGGCTAATCTACAAGGTCAAATTCTTCATTAAATTAATTTTAACTGTCAGTAGGTCTTCAAATTTAAGCACATGAAGTTAACAATTTCGCAGACAATTTTCGTAAAATTTTCGTACCCGAAGTACGTGGCTGCAAGATGTTCACAATGAACGAAGTAATAAATACTGAAAAACTGGAAAGTTGATGTCACTCTTCATCTTGCACTTAGTCCTGCAGGTGCTTCATCGATTGCAACACTGACAAGTTTATCCACTGGATTGTGAGCATTTGATAAGGACCTGTTAAGTGCATTTTTTATATCGACATCATGAGTTATTTCTTTTAATGGCGCCAAGTCTAACCTCTTTCACAGTTACATCAGAGGAAACATAACAAACAAATGTCTCGATTTTGGGTTGACTTGTATGTCTGTAGATTTCTCAAGAGCTGAGCTGAATGCTAGAGAATTCTTCAAATAATTTTGAATCTCGCAAGTAACATCATCACTGATATGGGGGATACGCCTCTTTGTAGTATGGCGTGAAACTGGAGTTTGTGCTATTAGTTGCTGAAGTTTTGTGTTACTTGGATCTAACACTGCAACAACTTCAGCAACATTCTTCTTAACAAATTCTCTTATCAGAGTCCTGTGGGTATTTTACACATGCAATATTCCATGCCATAAGGAAACTAACTAGTCATCGTATATTAGCTTCCTTACTGAAAGTTGTCAACTGTATCTGTTGGCTATTTAGTGGTGGTTTTAAATTAGTTAACTTTTTTTTCCATTAATCTGAATTTGGTGGATATTCACAGGAAATATTTTTGTAATTTCTCTCGTAGTGGCGTTTCAAGTTATTTGTGCTTCTATCCTCTTCACCACTGATCGGCTCGTTAGCTGCTTGGGTGATCGGTCACGTCTCTGATTACTTTTCCTTTTCTTTTATCCTCTTCACCAAATGATTGCCTCGTTAACTGCTTGGGCGATCGGTCACGTCTCTGTTGGCAAGTACTGGGCATGCCCCGGCTGCTGAATGTACCTGAACCTGCTCCAGTGTTGGTCAAGTCTTGTCTTGAAAGAGCTCGGTGCCGTCACAACACTTTCTGGTAGATTGTTCCAAGAGTTCACAACTCTCACTCCGAAAAAAGTTTGCCCTCACAATTTTCTGGACTTGCAGCTTCTTCAATCTTGAGCTGTGACCCCTTGTGGGGCTTTGCTTCCACATCTCCAAGTAAGGACACTTGACTGAGTAATGCCCCTTGAGATGCTTATACACCTCAATTTGGTCACCCCTTGCCCGTCTGTAGTACAGTATAAGCTAGGTAAGTTCAGGCGCTCCAATCTCTCGGGGTAGCTGAGGTGCCGAAGTGCAGGCACCAGTCTGGTGGCCCTCCTTTGAACATTTTCAACCAACTGACAGTCCCTAACATATCTTGGGGACCAGATGGGGTGACAGTACTCCAGATGGGGAAGCAATTCACTCTTGAAGATCGTTCCGAGGGACGAACCGTCTAGATATCCGAACGACCTTATAAGACCCAATAATATATTTGCCTGATTTACCTTCTCGCAATGGCCCGAGAACTTCAGCTCATTGTCAACATACACACCTAGGTCCTTCTCACATTGTCTTAAATGGTGCAGTTTCTTCATCCACTAGGGACATATGTTGGCTTTCTAGTGAGTGATTGACATAGCAGATAAGGCACAATGATAAATGCGAAATCTTTTCCCACACTGGCTTAAAATTTCTCTTTTTATCTTCATGCTTTTGTTTCTTATGATTTAATGATGCCATTTTCCTTCACAAAATTCTCAGACACAGAACTAACAAATAAATTTACAGTATTTAAGAGCAACTTATTTTTATGAACTCTAAAACTAAACATCTTGTATACCGAGTGTACCAACCAGGTCTGCACAGCTCAGTGTCTTGTGTTACACTGCATTAATGAAGTAAATGTACATGGCCTGATGCTGGATACCAGCTCATTATGCTACCTGTGATCTTTCAAATCTCCCCAATCTTTCCAAATGTCTTTGCTCTCCCGTTCTGTGACCTCAGTGCCCCTGACCTTTCTCTGTAATCTCTGCTGACCTAAAGTTTCATTAGTCCCTCTCCCTCACACTATCACTCCCCTCAGCACTGATGAAGAACACCTGATCCAAATCCACCATTAATGTTAGGATTTAAATTCTTAAATAACTTTACCCACCTTGAATATTAAACTTATGTTTTAATGCAGTGGACTCTTAAATTATAAAGCCTGAGCCTTTTTCTTATTTCCCCGTACATTAACTATGATGCAAAAAAGGAGTTCAACCAATTAATTTCCACAAGCTGCACATGAAGTGTCAAAAAAGCTGCATGCGGCTACCCCTGCTCTATACAGTCTAGTGAACCTCATAAATTTACCTTGAATTCACTCAAGGAATTTTTGTTAGATTTTCTTTATTTTATAATTTTCCTGTAGAGTACACCTATTCACATATCCGTTAAGACATTGTTACATAACTATTTGACAAATTTCATAACCGAATGACAGACACAACACATATCGAATGACAATCTAAAATAATTGTTCGTTCATGTTAACGGAAATGGTTGACATAAGTTATGAAGTTGACTGAGGTGAACAATAAACCGACAGTCTACATATAGTTTGAGAATGTAACAATTGGAGAATGACATACCACCAACAGTTATTTTCGATTGTCATTCGATATGTGTTCTGTCTGTCATTCGGTTATGAAATTTGTCAAATAGTTATGTAACAATGTCTCAATGGATATGTGAAAAGGTGTATTAGTACCCTCTTCACTTTTTTATCCCTATTTTACAGTTTTCAAAATTTTTTAGATGGCATTGGAGAATACACATTTCATATTTAATTTTTTTTTCAGGGCGGTAACTGATGTATTGAATACACTTCAAGGTTTCTTCATCATGGTAATCTTTTTGGCAAATAAAAGTAAACGCAGACAGCTCAAGAAGAAGTATCCAGGAATTTTTGTGGCAGCAAAACAATTATTTTTGGTATTGCAAAAGGTCGCATCATTTATCATGTGTAAGAATATTAATGGTAGATCATTTTCCTCTGACAATTGTATAACTTCCCAAGTCAGTAGAAAGCTATCAACTTCATCCATTGTTTCAAATTTTTCAACATTGACTTCATCATTGAAACACAGTTCAGCCTCATCATTCCATGTAACATCAATTGTTAGGAATGGAACCAAAAGATCTTCATCGGTTAATGAAACTGAGAATGGCATTATTACAATTTCTCACTCGCCTCTAAGTTCCTCACCCAGTGGTGAGAGTGAATCATCTTGTCCATGTGTTTGGGATAATAGATATGCAGCTGAGCCAAATTGCATGAGCTCAAGTGAGTGCTAAATGTTATATTTTCCATATTTAAGTGTCTACCACCATTATTTCAGTTAGATTTCTTTATTTTTTTCATTAAAACTTTTTAAAGTCCTCACTAAAAATTGTTATTGCTGTATTACCAATGTTGTACCTGTACTCTTTAGGGATGGTTTGAAGTTGTTTTTTGTTGTTTAATGTAGTGGTAATAGTTCAGTTCACCCAGACTGTTAAACTCTTCACTAATGTAAGGAAAAAGTAATTTTTTTTTCTAAAAAACTGTTTTTGTGATATAGTCCAGAATGCGACGTCTAGCTTTATACCTAGGTATGTTAATGCCCAGCAATAACTTGCCAGGCCAACATACAGGCAATTAAAACCTCTAATAATACTTGATACATATTACAGTATTAGGAAGACGTAGCTACCTGGCATTTAATTGCAATTCTCAAAACCCCCTCCCGCACCCTCTATCACACGCATTGCTACCGTCATCTCTTGCCCCAGAGCGAGCAGTAAACAAATGTCAACTCAAGGGGTGGAGATGGGCGAGATGTTGACGTCGCATTCTGGACTATATCGCAAAAACTGGTTTTTAGAAAAATAGGCTTTTTGTTCAATCCAGAATGCGACGTCTAGCTTTGATTGCTCACCAGCAAATTCTCAGTCTTGAGCAGCACCTTGTTCTGGCAGTACTTCACCATTGAAGCACCTGCAGACTTTGTGATGCTCGTGTGTTCTTTTATCTTGGCGGCATCCTTCTTGATCGTCCGGATCATAGATTCGTTCACGCCATGCTGGCGTGCTAAATCAACTTGCCTCGTTCCTTTTTCTAACTCCTGTACGATCTTGTACTTAACTTCGTAACTTAGGGCACGTCATATCTTCTTTGGCTTGGAGCGGCTGGTTCTAAGTAATGCAAGGTTTTTCTGTGGTGGTGGGGGTCCAGCGGATGCCATTCTTACGAGATTAGCGGTAACAATACAGGAGCACAGTACAGTATACACGGGGTGACTGGGAAGAGGGTGACTGACTTGGGTAGTGGCTTCTCTGTGGTGGCAGGGCACGTCATATTACATTGAACCAATCACAGTTAGCCGGGGAGGGAGGTAAGGATGCGTGGCCCAATCACAGTCCGATACTTCATATGAAGTCACCGATAACGCAACAGTGACATACTGAGCAACCTTACTAGCGCCGCTTGTACTCAAACATGACGGGATGGCGGGCCGCTTGAATCCAAAATGGCGCGGCCTGTTTGGACCCTCCAGCGACTCGCTGCGTAAATGACCAAATTTACAGTGTAATTAAAGCATTTCAATTCTGGCAAGGCACCGCGTAAATGACCAAACGCGTTAACCAAAACCGCGTAAATCCAGATTATACTGTACAGTAATAATGTAATGCTACTATGGTTTAGATGTTATGGATATCAAGATGGACACTTTCTTTATCAATAACAGAATATAGAACTACTTCATATCCATCAGCTTGATGTAGAAGGTGTCGTACCCTTATCCAATTTTGAGAAATTTTTTGCTTTGATACACTTTTATAATTTTTTGTCCTTAATTTTGATAATCTTGGTGATATGACCATCTAATATCAGTTGGTGATAAACAGTACCTGTAATCAATCGGTACTGGAGGTGAGAGCAATTGAGGCATGATCCTTGTGGTTGAGGAACTTTGAAATGAAGTAAATCCTCACTGGTTCCTAGTTTACCTATCTTTCCTTCATTTACCTAATGACCACCCCACCTGTAAGTGGCCATGTTGGCTCACCTGATTGTTCTTGATAGTCTTATCCAAGGCTATTTTGAAGCCCATAACTGTTCTCAATTCCACAGCTTCAGCTGGTAGACTGTTCCACAGGTCTACCACCCTTTGTGCATGAAGAAATAATGTACTTTATATTCATTCTGCATGACACCTTGATGCGTTTGAAGTTGTGTCCTCTTGTGTTGGTGGTGCATGACAATTGAAAAAATGCTGTGGGTATACATTTTCCCATTCCTTTCAAGATTTTGAAAGTCTCTATGAGATTTGCCTTAACGTGTCTTTTCTGTAGAGTTGTCAGTCCTAAAACCCTCAGTCTACTTGGATAATCTAGATCTAGTTCAGGAATAATTTTAGTTGCACTGTGTTGCACTTTTACAAGTGTTGTGTGTTTCTGTAGGTAGGATTTATATGCCTGTAATGTACAAAGAAATAGACTGGGACATTTAAAGGACTTATGGAGTTGAAAGAGAATTTTCTTATCTTTGTGCTGTACAGTATTGTATATGAAAGTACAACTTATAATTCCTAAAGTACTTTCTTTCTTTCTTGATAAAATCACACAGGGAAACAATGGAGCACCTTAGCTTTCGTCTTTATTTAAGACATCTTCAGAGGCAACTGAATTACATGGACCGAGAGAGGCTTAAGTACACAGGGTGACCTTACTGAACATGAGGTCAGGTCATAATCATGACACCCACTAATCCGCACACCAACACCACCACACACGCAGAGGAGCTTAAGAGAAAGGGCACAAAAACTTGGGTACCCTTCATTGTTTGTTGATTATTGTTTTAAAAGGGCTAAGAAATCCTTTCATTCTACTCAAACTAGGCAAATTCCTACACTTAAGAATATTTTGACTGCCTTATCGCAATGAATTTGTCCCGTTAGTTCAGTCCCTTAAATTATTAAATATTAATGTCGTTTTTAAGTATGACTTAACCATTACCAATATATTAATCAAGAATAGCCCAACCTTGAATGTAAATGGAAGTGTTTACTGCATTCCATGTAGCAACTGTAATGGAAATTATGAAGGACATTCTGGGAAAGCATTGCAACTCAGAATTAAACAGCACAAGAGCAATATCAGAACAGCATCTGAAAGCAGTGCACTGTTCGTTCATGTTAGGAATAATAATCCTCCCATGGATTGGGAAAACAGCTTAGAAGTGTACAAATCATCATGTGTCACAGAAAGACTTATGGTTGAAGCTAGTTTGATTAGGGAATTAAATTCTATAAACCTTAGTGATGGTCAGTACAAAACTGATATGTTACACAAATTTATTTGTCAGTGGCCCAAGGTTAAAAATGCTTTGAAAGCATTGGAGTTAGATGTAGGATAGATGATTAATGGGTCCCATATTTTTTACCTAACTTAACTTGACTAGTCACGTCGCCCTTTCTCTTAAGCTCCTCTGCGTGTGTGGTGGTGTTGGTGTGTGGATTAGTGGACGTCGTGTAGAAATTGTTATTGTTACTTTTTCATGAAAATGTATTTAACTCATGGCTACAGATTACTCTAGGTTTTAAATTTCATAAACATTATGGGCATGAGTATTATAAAGTGGATACCAAAGGTACAGTTAGATAGATTGATACCAGAAATATCTTAGAACCTTTACTTTCCCTGTTATTTAAATGACTTTCTTATGAATGTTAAAGGTAAACTTGTATCCTGATGATAGTGCCTTTGTAGTGTCAAGTAAATATCAAACATATCTGAACTGGAGTCACTGTGGCAAGTATGGGCATGCACAGGCTCTTGAATGTATCTTAATATGTACCAGTCGGTCAAGTTTGGTGTTAAATGAATTCACACTTGGTGCCGTCAGAACGTTCTCTGGCAGGTTATTCCAAGAGTTCACAACTCTTACTCCAAAGAAGTTAGCATCTGTTAACTGCAGATATGAACACGTATTCTGAATATTGTCTTTAAACTGCTCCTTTCCCATCTATAGAATTGTACTATGTAAACTATGCAGTTGAAGGTATTCTTACCTCTCTTGGTTCATGAGGTGTTAGTGCAAGCACTCCTTTGGTGGCCCTCCTTTGGACTTCGTCAACATATCTTGGGGACCAAATTGGATGATAGTACTCCAAGTGGGGAAGCACCACACTACAGTATTTGAAGACCCTTATAAGGGGCAGACCCTCTAAATACATACTGTATGTGTAAGATATTCATACTTGCACTACTAGCATTATTCACCTTCTCACAATGGTCTGAGAACCTATTTTTGTTGTAAACATAAACATCTAGGTAATTTTCACATTTGGTATCCCTTTATGATGTTTTTAATAACATTGGGACATGTGATATGCCTCCTTACTGTTGTTATAATGTAGTTGAATCTAAACAGCTATTCCTTTGACTACTGTAGATGTTGATAGAAATCTACCAGTAATGGTTCCTAGTCCATCTGGCATATCATTTACAAAACAACCAAATATTGGTCCCATCCTTCTTATTTTGGGTACACTTGATGATTTTGTGCCATTAATCACCACATACGGCTTGTGGTCATAAAGAAAGTTTCCAATCGATACCAGGAAATTCCTTAGTTAAATTTTCAGCCTTTTATGAGGTATGTTAAATGCCTTGGCTACTTCAATGTATATATTGACAACATTTCCACCATGCTCCAAGATCTGTGTCCACAAATCCAGCCACTTAAGCAGGAGGATGCAGGCCTAAAACTGTACATACTGTACTGGCATTCATTCATGAGGTTATTCCATAATGGCATTGTGTATAATACTCTCTAGCACTTTACTCACTATATGGTGGATTTAAGGGGTTCTACAATTTTATTACACATACAGGGTAGTATTTCTTAAAACCGAGATGCACAGGGATCTTATGAAAGTTAAACTTAATCATAGTTTAACACAACCGCCATTTGTAATATTACTGGCTGTGTCACGTGCTGCTGCTCTCGAGCCTTGCCGTATCAACCCAGCCCAGCTGGGGATGCTCCCCCTCCTGACCCTTAGCAACACTTCCACTCTCACACCTAAAGAAATGCTTATTCCCTTTATGTTTTTGACCTTATGATAGGTTTTTTACCCCCCCCCCCATCCTTTTGTTGCACATGTATATACGATTGTGTGTGAATGTAACCGAGTAAAAAAGGTGAAGTTAAGTTTACCTATGCTCATCCTGCTAACTTTCGCTGGCATACGAAGAAATGTTTTTGACCTTGATTATTTTTATTTTATTTTATATTATATTATTTTTTGCACATTCTGTATATGTGTGTGTAAATAATAAAAATAAAAATATGAAGACCGTTATATTTATAATGTATACCCAAAATTATGACGTGAAAAATAACCATGCCATAACTCCTACCTCATCCTGGTAGGGCGAGAGATGTAGCAGATCCAGCTGACTCCCAGGGGCGTGCAATTTGAATTTTTGCCAGAACCCAAATTCGTAGAAGCAGTGGAAACTTTTATAACAAAAAAAAGGTGGTAATTCAATAAATTTGTATAAGCAAATATTTGTATCTTGAACGTTCGTACAGTATAGTGAGGGATGTGTGTAGGGTCGGTGGTTACTTGGTTGCTTCGGCGTTATCGAGGACTGCTTTATCTTTGTAAAAGTACAGTACAGTATCAACTTTTTGCTTTCAATTACAATGCGTGGCAAGAGTGTGAAGCATTCTGGTAGTGAAGAAGAAGCTATAACTTTTGAACATAAACTGTGATAAAGTGGTATGAACAGGGGTGGCATTTCAGACTTTGCTTTGGGGGGGTGGGGGGGTGGGGACAACACCTTTACATGTAAAGAGTAGGAGTCAAAATCCTGCTCCACCATGGTGCTGTAACAGATGGAACATGTTCCAACACGTTTTATATTTTCAATTTGCATCTGCCTGGTGTGGACCATGTGGTTGCTAGCAATGTGTCTTACAGTCCTTGGGAGGGGCAAGCCAGGTATGGGGGAGGAGAACAGAGCCTCCTCCCCCCTCCCCCCCCAGATGACGCCCTAGGTATGAACCCTCGCCTCTGCCATCAGATTGACTCCACCACTGATCTCAAATGTTCTAATAAGTTTATTTACATTACTTATGGTTTTTTTTTATTTAAAACGGTTTTACTGTATCATTAAAAGCTGTTATTTCATCATGTTCATTCTGCACCCTCCTTCATGGCTCCGTTTTCTATCGCATAGCATTTTCCCCCTTGTCATGGTTTTATTCTGTGGTATTATTGAACTAAAATGCATTTATTATAAAAGAACACAAAGTGTAACAATAATATGAAAGTGAAAGTGGGTCCCATGTTAATTGTGTTGGCATTTTCAAACCTCCTACCCCTTAACCCTTTAATTGCCATTGGTTACTATAACGGGATTTTTCTATAACGGTGTTTTTAAGGAATGCAACTACTGTGTTAAAGGAGAACTGACCTGTTGAGTCACTGAATTTGTGAAAATTCTGTCTTTTAATGATTTTTTTTCATATATGATGCTCATTAGGTTGTCCATTCTTAAGAACAGTATGGTAAAGTTCAAATGAGGAGAGAATATTTAGTACTCAGCAGTTTTCTAAAGTGAATTTGATAACTACATAGTACAATATAACTTTTAGATTACTTGTCATCATACTAGCTCAGTTTGTGGCGAGTAACTGCTAATGCCAGCGAAAAGACCTGTGTCATTTAAAAATGTTAAAATTAAGGATTTCCAGAGAAGCTCCATTTGCCTGTCCTAGGTTAGAGCTTTTGTTTTTATTGTACATAGTGTGTTTGTGTAAATGATGTGTTGTACAGTTGCAGAAATGTGTTCCTATACGTACCCCTGTGGTAACCTGTGTCTCTAATCAGGTATGTCGCAATATTATTATTTTTGAATTAATGCATGTTGGTCGTGTAACGACGGATGTGATTTGTGGATAGGTTATATACAGTAGTAGGTTGGCCATTTGGAGACACTGGTTACCGCAGGAGATGTAGGAACACATTTCCTCAACAATACCTGTACAATATATGAATTTTTATATATATTTTAAAGGTAGGTTAAGAAATAATTTGTGCATATATTGTTAATTTATTATTCAGAACACTTTGTTTTAATTTTCATTTGTTCAACACAATTTTATTGTAAACTGAAATATATATGCTTACAGTATTTTATATAAATTAAAGAATTATATTTGGTCACATTTGTTTAATTTGTCAAGCTCACAGGGATTACAGCATTTGTATGAGTATTGTACCATACTAGCAGTTTTACACTATTTTGGCATAAGTTGAATACCATTCTTTAAATTGGCTACAGTATCAGCGTTGATCACTCCTCTTCCTGCAACAACTTGTATATAATCAAATTTTTTCCTTCCAGTGTTTGGCAACCTTGGGCAGATTAGACTTTCAGATTTGCCTGCTACATAGGTGAAACTATTGCCAACTGGCAATGTTTTCTAATTTTCTAATTTG